CAATTATGCAATTGAAATATGCAAAATCCCATTGGTTCTCATTTAGTAGAATTTAGCATCAATAATCTGATTTAGTTAGGTTATATTATATATATATAGATATAGATATAGATATAATTATCTTGCAACTTGTGATAAATTTAAGGTGTACTTTTAAGTAAGTCATGTTGCTAGTTCCTGCACAAAGTCAAAGAATGTTTAATCTATTTTATATAATTTCTCATTGAATAATTTGAAGATGTATTAAAGAAACTTTATGGTTCAATTATTTCTTAATTTTTTAATGAATGTCTTTGAAGTTGTAACTTTATCTCTGCAAAGTCAAATAAACAATACTTTTAAAAATAAATTATTTCAATAATTTTTATATTTAATTTATAGCTTTAAGAGAGTTTATAAACTGAATATATTTTTAATAATTTAATCAAGATTTTATGTATGCATCAATTAAGATGTATAAAAAAATTAATAGTAATTCCATACATTTATTTATTGTTGATATTATCTGAAGCTTGGGTGGGAGTTGTAAGTGGCTTCCACGTATGTATCTAGTCAGCAAAATATCTTGTCATTCAATGGGATCCATTAGAAGAGTTAGAAACTTTGTATTCTAGTTGAACTCTACAGCAAGAAGATCAGTGTCTGGCCTCCCAGGAATTTATTCTATCTTCAGGCGCATGCCCATGGATTGAACGCCCTATAAAGATATATATATATATATATATATATATGTATATATATAGTTGTGAAATAATATATTAGCTAGCTTCGGACGCGAGTGACTGTTGCTGTAGTTGTAAGCTAAAACAAGAGCACCCAACAGTTTCAAGAGTCGAAATAGGACCGGAGTTTGCTGAAACAAACACTTGCCTAGAAGCCGAAATGGAAACTTCCACCTTCGACTGAAGCCCAGCTCTACAAACGCCAACAACTGAACTGAATTGAATCCATATTCCTAGATCAATCCAAACACGAATCTGAGAGGGCTGGAATTGTGCGGCCTTGCTTGCCTTCAGTGACGCCGGCGGCTCTAGACGGGGAAGAAAACACAAACGCTAGATGCAATTTCTGATGCTGTCGACACTGTATACGACGATTTTATGCATCCGCATCCTCGAGTCACTGACACCTCACGCGATTCAGCGTTGGGATTACGTCAAATTGGCAGTTTACAGGTTTGGTCCCAAGGCTGAACCCTATTGAGTCAGCTTGCTATATCCTTTCGGGTTATTGTCTGTGTCCAACAGCAGCACCGTGACGCCCCGTGGACGCATCGGACCAAAGCTGCTGCCAATGGCACATGGAACTCGCTGTCCCGCGGTGGCCCCGCTAGAGTCCACCCTGACAGTTCGCCAAATTCACGCAACCACCTCATCGTGAAACGAAGGAATCGCCCCCGCCCGCATGTCTAGGCTGAAATCGTCATCTCAATCTTGAATGAGAAGGAGAGGTTCTGCACTTCGAGGTGGTCATAGTGCAGCGACGACGACGACGACGGGGGTGTGAATGAAGCTTGGTTCCCGGTGCTCTCTCTGACTCGATCAGGGAAACTGGGATGTCTGCGTGGTTCGTCGCATTGGCTTCACATCGGCGATTGCAACAAATCCGAATCTGTGAGAACACCTACTCTAGCGCGCGATCTCCCGCACGATCTTGGCACTGGATCCTAGACAGAATCGTCGCCCTGGATTGGCGTCGTCATGTGCGTAGTGTGTTCTCAGCGTCGTTGTTGCGGCAGTGGAGATTTCGAAACCGCGCTGTTTGTTATCCACCCAATTGATCTCTCACTCAAGCTGCATCCAAGAAGAAGAAGAAGAAGAAGAAGAAGAATAGAATAATGTGCACATTATTGTCCTGAACCTACCATATAACAAAGTTATTCCACTTTGGAATCGATAACATAATAATAAATATATATATATATATATATATATAGTGTTTTGACTCTTGAATCACCTTTACTATACTTAAGCTTATTATCTTAAGCTTATACTAAGAATTAAAAGTTAATTCTCCATATTTTCTGTACTCGCTAATCACAGACAAGATAAGAGTTGCAGTGAACTCCTGCAAATTCTTTGGACAAGTCGTCTTGTGAGAACGTCAATGGTGATAGTTGTAGGCCTCACTGTGCAACAGTTTTTTTAATAATAAAAATAAGAATAAAAATAACTTAGCAAATGGAGCAGGAAAATTGAGTCGCGTGTTGCATAAGACTGAATGTGACAACCAAGATACGCTCGTCTTAAATATTTTTTGGCACAAATTGAACTTTGTTCAATTGCAGAGGGATATTGAAGTACAGGCCGCTCGTACCTTTAACGATACAGGGCAGGGACACCTTGGACCTACCGTATCTATAATTAGTTTCTACCAACTACCTCAACCTGGCTAAGCCCCTGAGTTCCCAAGTTACTCGGTTATTTTGTCTAGAGCAAAGCAACTTATACTGGCCCCAATTCCGGTCAAACTCAACAAGTGAATCTTGCATTGCTTCCGGGGTTGTTCGACAGGGCTCCTGAGGTTTGGCCCACGCAATCCTCCCATTCCCCTTGGGCTTGTCAGACTGTCTGTTCCATTTTCTCCTTACTCCATGTTACTTGATTGAAGACCTTGTCGTTCCGCGCGATCCATATGTTCCAAATCGCAATACTTCGGAGAAGGAGCCACAGTTTCCCAACTCTGCGGTACCGGCGCGGTGTTCTGTGACCGAACAGGGCTTGTTTCCAATTCGCGAGTGGCCATCCATTGGATTCGTCAGGCTGAGTTAATTTCCCCAGTTGGACGCTAACAAAGCCCCATACGTGCTGTGAGGGTCCACAGTCCCAGAAACGGTGAATAATAGTTTCATCCACCCCTGCTGAGCACATGGGACAGGCCAAATCAATCTGGTTCGACGTTCGTCCCCGCCATGAATTTACCCCGACCGCCTTGTGCCACAATTGTCATGGGAATTCGGCTTCTTTTTTGGCGCGGTCGTGATCCCATACGTTGTTCCACTTCAATTTAAAGTTAAATGGTAGTAGAGCTTGCCACTTGTCGCAGGCTAGCAAGAGTGGGGGGTGGCGCTTGCGAAGCAACGTTCTACCTTGAGTCGTGTTCGCATGAAGTCCTTTTGGTCCGACCAACGAATCCGGCCCGGGTCCCACTGTAATTCGCTGATCGGCCGTAGAAGAGGAGTATCGATCGCTTCCGGAGACCACGTATGATGTGTTGAACTCGGACGCTTTTTAACGTACCCCGGAGAATCTCAGTTGGCGGGGTAGCAGTTATCAGTGTTCGAGAGGAGGGCATGACTGCGAACACTCTTTGGTGGTGTGAGAATGTGAAGTTCTGAGGCACCGAGGAATGAAGGCACTCCATGAGTTCTTCGCCCCGACAAACTATCTCCGGCAGCAGAGAGGTTATACTAGTGTATATACCATACCACTCTCACGGTTGTGGTCGACTAGATTGTTGAATGAGTAGTCGTCCCCCTTCGGCATACGTATACTCCCCAATTCTAATCCAATCTACCTGTTCTTCCGGTTTGATGCCGAAATGCGCCATTCCCTCAGGGCCCGTTAAAAAGCGTGACTCTCTGGCACACCATGCGTGGCAGACCGACTGGAGTCCACCAACAAATAAGACCGCTGCGCGTTCGTTGGAGAAGGCCGGATCAATGGTTGGGGCATTCGGGTATCACCAGAATGGAGTATTAAGCCATTCGTCGAAAGTTTTCGGTGGGGTCGTAACGGTTTCTCGAACCAAAAGCTTCCAGGCTTTTGCGACCCGCGACCACGTTTTAGAGCCCATGGAAGCCTTGTGTTCGGGCAGTAAGAATCACTGCATGGACTCGCTCATTTGCCCATTGCCTTGGTTGGTAGTTGGACAATTGGAATCGGAGCAGTTCCTTGAGGTTGGAGGACCCAGAGTCACGCTTTTTTGTCGGGCGGAAACTATCCCACTTTCGCAGGCGGAAAAGTCATGCTGGGCTAGGCGCAGCCCCCGGGCTCCACCAATAAGCGGCGGACTTCGCCAGTTGACTAGGAGCCTAGAGGCAGAACTGAAGGTGTTGAGGGTAAGTACTGCCTGCCGGACCCCGGACTCCTCACCCCGTAAGGTTAATGAGGTGTCGTCGGCATATTGGGCGAGAGTTTGGGGTCCAGCTGCTCCTGGAAGTTCAATTCCTTTGATACGTCCCGTTGCTACCACCTGCTATATGCATTGGTTCAGAATTTCTCCTACCACAAGGACAAGGTAGGGTGCCAGCGGGAATCCCTGCCTCACCCCCTGGTGGATATGGAACGAGTTAGTCAGTCTTCCGTTCACACAAACCCTAGCCATTGTATCCCGAAATAATAGTTTAGTCATGCTTATGAATTGAACGGGCATCCCAATCCGTTCCATAGGACGGAAAAGGAACTGCAGATCAACCTTATCGTAGGCTTTGGAGAAGTCGAGCTTGAGAAAAAACTAACGGTTGACTGGTCTTCTTTGCATGGTGGATGGTTTCGTTCGTGAGAAAAATATTGTCTAGAATGAAACGCATTGATAAGAAGGAGGATTGATCGAGGCTTACTACTTCCATAAGGACCGGTTGTAAACGTTGGAGGGCCTTGGCGAACACCTTGTAAGCCGTGTTGAGCAGGGTAATGTTTAAACAACTGTTTAAACAGCAACGCCCCCCTCCCTTGTGAAATAAAATAATTAAGCCGGCAGTGACCCCCGATGGCATTTGCCCCCCCCCACTATAGCTTCCTGGACCATGCCTATAAATTCTCAGCCGATAGTCGGCCACATTTTTTGGAAAAATTCAGTCACCAAGCCGTCTGGTCCTGGCGACTTATGTGGTTCCATCTCTGTGGGCGCCGTCGTGAGTTCCGCAAGTGTGATGGGTTTGCAAAGTTCTGCCTGCATGGTCCTCGACAGGAGGTGCTTCGTATGGCGCAAGACCGCCTCCTGTGCCGTGAGCATTTCGGGTGCGAGGGCTCGGCCCGAGTACAGGGAGGAAAAAAAAGTCATGACAGATTTCCTCCATCTGTGCTCGACTGCGGTGTAGCATCCCGATCTGATCTGCCAGTTCGGTGAGATTGGTGGGGGGGGGGGGGGGGGGGTGTATGATATTGGACTGCACGATAAAATTCTTGCGTGCCTGAGTCCCCCTTTGCTCGCCATTTAACTCTCGATCGAAGTAGCTGACCCTCTACTCGCTGGGTTTCATACTGAGATACCTCGTCTTGGATCTCCGTCAAGGTGGCCTGCGCGCTGGGACACGCCAGGTGTTGCTGTAATGTTTCCTGGGCTTGCTGGAGGCGCTCCCTTAGAGCGACTTCGTGGGCTCGGGACTCAGTTTTACGAAGGCAAGGGGTATTGTACCATTTTGTGAGACGGTGCAGTTTGCCGAAGAAGTCCATCTGCCCTTGATAGCTCTTCCAGAGAGCGACCATTTGCTCCAGGATAGACGGATCATACAGGTACTTACTATTCAGTTTGTAACTGCTGCCCGCTGACCTTTCAGCTCCCAGTTCAATGGAGAGTTTAATCGGTAGGTGATCTGATAGATTGCAGTCACCCATTATCTCGTGCTGGGTAACATATTGGCTCTGTTGGCCTGATGGGCTGTGGAACGTGTACGTCCGATCAAGCCGGGCTAGGACTCGGGTCCCATCGCTACGCCGGTTATCCCAGGTGTATGTGCGGGGCCCGGTGTAAGTGAAGTAATCCGAGACTTGTAGGTGTGCTTTCAGGAGGTTGAACTTTTCTTTTTCTCTCAGAGTAACTGGCCACATTCAGTTGACTTGTCCCTCGCGGTTTCTACCATGTTTCAATCTCCACACGGTACCCATCGACATCCTTGCGGTAGTCGGAGCATTTTGTGCCATGGTTGGCTCCGTTCTTGTGCCGTATGAGGCGCGTACGTGTTAAGGACTGCCACGTCTCCCCCGTCGTAGCCACGTAGTACCCATTGGGCGAGGTTGACACCCACCAACCCATGGGAATGGATCATGTGTTGAATGCGGGGGGAGAGGAACATACAGATTCCTCCTTTTCCTGCCCCCTCCTGGCCGTCAGTATGGTTGTGGCCAGGAGCGGCCTCGCATCCTAAGAACTTAGCTTGACGCCAGATCTGGCGCCCGAGGTCGTGGTATCTGGACCCCCTCAATTTATGTTCCTGTAAACATAACATATCTATATGTCGTAACCGGTGGGCCTTGGTCGGGTGGAGTGTTCCGGTGGGGCTGTGTTGTTGTTCGAAGACGCTGGAGAATGCCTCTTCTAGGCTCACAACTCTATCGCCGGTTGCGACTGGTCGCGCCCGTCTCGATTCCAAACGCATGCGGTCATAACACTCTGTCCGAGTCTCTCCCCAGACACGGTCAGCATAAGTCGCCATTGCACTCACGAGGCCACTCATACTCACATAGAATTAGTCACAAAAACACAAAAACCCTAACTACGCGGCTACAGGCCTACTGCCCTAATTCCACCTCCCGTTGAATCCCTCGGATTTCAGCAAGATTCGTATCCGACGGGACCTTGGCAGTACTTCTATTACACCACAATGGGTGATTGAATCGATTGAGCTTGGAACAGAAAGGCTGTGGCAGGGAAAGCAAGTGTGTGCATTGTCTGCAGGACGGCAAGAGGGTGCGGCGGACTGTTCCGCTCAGTCTCCCTAATCGGGATTTGCGGAGCCCATCCTTCAGACCGCTCGTCTCATATTCGATAACTGATATCGTAGTGACAACTTTTTGGAGAAACAAGAATGATTGTGCTTCTACGCATGGACATACACTAAGAATTAATGCAGTCGCCTATTCACATCCTCTGATACAGCATAGGAACGTGCACAAAGATGAATCTTCTGACAAGCTAAGACAGGAGTGTCAGTGCCGACCAGAACAGATTATCAACCTGAACCAACGATTACGAGATTATCTCACAATGTACCGAATGGACTTGAGAACTAAGGAAATGCAACTGAAAACAAAAACATGGCACAGGAGTGCATACAAGCCAGAACTGCCAACTTATTCGAAGGTTTCAGAAGCATTCGAAAACTTGTTTTGAAACACTTACAGGTTCAGCCCTGTGTCTTCATTATATTTGACGAAGATAAAAGTGCTCCAAAATGTACCAGCAGTTTAGCCTTATTCCACACTTGACCAAGGTCTTAGGTCCACAATGCCGCCTTTCAAGAAATTTAAAATTTAAGATTGTAAGAAGAGGACCACACTCCAGAGAGCATGATAGATATCTTCTCATAACCTTAAGTATTGCTGTTGTAGGTGGCATTGTAGATCTAAGAACTAGTCCAAGAATGGATTTGCTTGTTTGTTTTTCATACCCGCATCCAACTGATGTCCCGTTGGCTGCAACTTACAATGCTTACGGGTTCATGCCTGTTTCGTCCATGCAGGATTCCATGACCAAGTTCCTGCACAATAAATACAGCCAAAGCAACTTATGCTTAATCATGACCCGCATAGTCACCTGAACATCTGGTCACCTTCCAAGAGCATCTTCCGACTGCAGAATATACGCCAGAACCAGATCATTGCAACGTCGCACACTTTTAAGGTCGGTAAGCGTCAAGATTGATCGTTGTTTAAAACCCAAGTACCATGGAGACGTCTATGAACTGCATGACAAAAATCCATCCAAAAGAGATCTAACCTTTACCTTCACACCCGAATAGTTCCATTTTGTACCAAGTACTGACCCATCTTGATGTGTGATTAGTGAGGTAACGAGAAAACCAGTCAACAAAGAATTACAATTTGCTAATGTTCCTAACTACTAAAAGGTGTGTGAAGCTATTACCTGGCCGGGGATCTCTACCTCTAATGCTGTTCAACTCATCATCGCCTTCCAGAAGTAAAGTCAGTGACGACGCCCAACTCTTGTAATATGCAACTCCCGTCCCATGCCAGAAAAACGATGATTCCAGACACCTGGAGAGACGTATTGGATAATATGGAAAACTCCGTCCGACTAGAATTCACAAAACAATGAAATGAGAGGTTTATGCGGTTCGTCAGACGCACGCTTCGATAACTTTACACCACGCAGCGCGCTCACGGGCAAAGCATCCCTGATGTGTTTGTGCGCGCGGCAAGGGAGAACATACAGAAGATTCGTCATGACCAGCTATTCTGGGCGGTAACCCTCACGTACCTGACGCTCTCTTCGGATTCATGGGCATGGCGTTGTCTGTTGGCAACCAAATTTAACGTCCTCACACTCCAGCCCCTCTGTGCTCAGGTTTTCTCTTTCTCATGCTCACACGAGTGGCCATGTTATACGCGAACTGAAGTTGCTTTGGGCTCGTTACTCTTCCAAGGAAGCGATCAGACGCAACGGCAGTGGGAGATCAAAAAATCCTGGGGGATCTCGTGACCTACCAATTATAGATGCTCCCCCTTGCGACCTCGTCGCCGAGAATGAAGGGAAAAAGTCTTCACCCGTAAAGCCTTCCAGGCCGATTCAAATTGGTCCAAACTATTTTATTCTTTTTGACGGAAGCCAATTGGACCGAAACCCAGTCCGAAGTATCACTTGCTTTCTAGTTGCATGACGTAGATACTTGAATGAATGCCTAATGGACAAAAGCTGTTCTGTGAGAGACTTTGCATGGTGTTGATATCGAAAGTATCCTGCTGCTAGGTGACACTCTACCTAGAACCAGCCACTTGCGACAAGACATCAACTTGTCGGTTTCAAGTCCAAGAAACCGAATGAGGTGGTACTTGACAAAGTCTTGGACTTTGCCCTTATTTCATAAAAGGAGCTTCACATCCTAGTTACTGAAGTGCTGAACAGTCGAAAAAGTGCACGAATTACTCCTCCTACAGGACTCATACGTGCAGCCACCACAATTAGTGACCAATCAGGCCATGAACCAAAAAGAAAATCAGCAACATATGTTAACCTGAGGGAATTAACGGAGACACAATCGATATTGTTAGAAGTTATGTACTGCGTCTTCAAGTCGTGACTTAGAGAGTGCTAATGTTGACCAATAGATAATGTTGAGTGATTTCATATAACAACATTGACTTAAAAACGTCCAGCGATCTAAAATGCTTAGATACTCGGATCTGTGAGTGACGAATAAACATTGTTCAAAATCGAAACAGTGCAATAAAGTCACATAAATAGTTTTGATGGATTCACCTAAGACACCAAACGAGCAACCCTGCGTACTTAACATATTAGAACAAGAACTTGTAATTGTGCGAAGACCCTCTTGAAAATTGTCCAATTTCGGAACCAAAATGCTGGAAAACTCTTGATTGCATGTCGTTTGTCAATAACACATCTGTGCGCTCCCCAAACTATGTAGAGCATTCGGAAGTGCATACCTCTGGTGTCTGGAATATTAATGGATAAAGTCTTCTAATCATGGTTACGATGTTCTGGACTAAGTTTCTGAATTTCTTCATTCAGGTGCGTATCTCCCAGTTCTTAGATACATAATTGGCTTTAGCACTGCGTTTAAAATGTTGATGTCCCCACGGCGTAGCTCAAATTATTTGAACGTATTTTCGGAAGAGCACACCCTAACATGAACTCAATTATGCGGGGTACGTGTCAAAAGTCAATCTTAGACATCATAATTGGAACTAGAGAGCTTCACTTGCTACACATGAACTTTGCAGCAAGTCTGAAAAGAAATAGATGCTCAATGCATTCTTCATATCAAGTCACCTATTCTTCAAAAGCTTGCGCAGAGCTTCAACAACTGCATCAATCTCTTGTTTTGAGCGATGGATTTCTGCAGTGCTGCGCACAACAGCAACAAACCCCAGATCAGCTTTGGCAGCTCGTTCAACAAAGTTTTTAGTTTCTCATTTGTGCTGCTCGATCTAAGAACGCCTTACCCTAAAATAAAACTGAACAGAGTTGAGGAACCAACACGAAATCCAGACTTGACGTCTATGATTGGACAGTATGCCTACACTAACTAATTCATACTGCCTGTACAACTGTTTTAACAGAAGATGTGATCTACATAAATTCTTTTACATGTACAAGAGTTAGGATCCGGTGTATCATAACGAATTGAAATCTGACGGAGACACATTCAGGAACTATTCTTCAAAAGTTTTAATGATGCTCTCCTAGTTCTGTAGATCACCTATAAAAAGGTTCAAGCCGAAAACTGATCACATTTTGATCAGAACGGTGCTTTAAGCTTTACTTCATGGTCAAGATGTGCACGCTATCCAGCTAGAATAAGCGGCGGTGTTGGTTCTCAAGCACCGTGACATGCTCTGAAGATTAAGGTATGACTTTTCAAGGAGGCTCGAATACAAGTCGCTGATCAGCAAGTCAGAGTAATCCCAAGTTGCACCCAACGCGAATTCTCTAAACCTTAGAGAAAAATAGTCTACGGAAGTCATTTGCTTAGTAATTCAAGCACGCTTCACGGTTCTCGAGACTTCCATCTCGGCAAGGGTTGAATATAACGTGACCATACATGTACAGAGGCCGTGTCTGATCTGGAACGCTGGTTAGCTTTGTCGTGGTCCTTGTTCCGATTTCATACGCCTATGACTGCTTCCTAGCCTCAAAAAGCCCGATAATCGTGTACTCTCCAACGGATGTAAAGCAACTGCAGACCTTCGTAGCCTGTTCCACCACTGCAGTGCAGTCCCTGCAAAATGTAATCACTGCAACATATGAAGATTGTATTACAAAGTTTATCGGACCACTTGGCAACTAAAAAAGCGCTGCAAAACTTGGGGTAATCTTGACATACGTACGCCCCGCTACGTCCAGGGTGAAAAAAATACACATCGCACTAGCACGGAGTCAGCAAGTTTGGGCCAGAAAAGAAGCCGAATGACCGCTGCCACCTACAAACCTAACTTGAAATGATGCAGGAAATCAGAGTGAGAAGGGAAGAGCTCGAAGCAGAGTCATGACGATCTCCGAGCACGGATCAGATGTCCCGCCCTGATCTTTACTGCCCTCTGGAACCAACTGAAGATGGCACGGGGGTACACTATTCCTAAAAGCTTCAGTCATTTGAGAGCGACGTTTGGCACCGCTCGAGTTACACAAGAAGCACGAGAACTTGGAACAGCTGTTTCGTCAGTGCCATGGAACATCTAATCCCGATGGATTGAAGACTTGTTGCAATTGCCGAAATCTACCATTGCCATGCCAGCAAGCTCGGACCTCCCCAAAAGCATAACAAAGATTTCGACGAACTAGCTGGAGGAGTGCCGTTCCAGCTAGAACCGTATCCCTCTCCCATGTCGTTTCCTCGTTGGAGTTGTGCTGCTGATTGGCCCTAAACCCAAAACTTATCCATGCTTGCGATAGGCTGGAAGCTCCGGGTAAGTACGGGCCCATGCTTACCCAATTATGGCGAGCCCCCTTCTTCTCCTAGTTTGAGACTTTCATGAGTTTGCTGCAGTGGCATTATAATGGCCTCTGTGCACTAGAAGAATCAAAAAATCTAAATTATTTGGATTATAATTTTTTTTTGAATAATATATATATATATATATATATATATATATTTGTAATATATAAGTGTAATGCATTGTGTTTTTGAAAATTAATACGTTGATTGGAGCTTTACAAAACTAACTAAGTGTGATGACCTAACATAGATTTAGATGTAGAGATTTTATAATATGAGCGACCAAGTTTTAACGACTTTCACCAAGAATAGAAAAGCGACCAAAAAAAAACCAAGATGGTTGTGACGAAGAACTCTATTTTATCCACTTCTCCATATTCATTCAAGCTAGATTTCATCAAACTACATGTGTCCAACTTGGTCTCTCTTTCTTTCTTTCTTTCTTTCTTTCTTTTTTATTTTTTTCTATTTGTAAAAAAAAAACCTTTGAAGTTTGTATTTTTCAAGCTTTTGGAGCATTACATGTTACAATCAAGGTCAATATAATTACAAGTATAATTGCTAATAATATAATCATAAAATAATTATAATTATTAAAAAAAAAAAGTAATACGATCACTATTGCAATTACCAGTATCCAAGATTATCATGATCAATGGCAACATATGGCCCATATGTTTCCCTTAGCCAACACAAATTGTAATAATCATGGCCAATTTTATGGTAGATCTTACATTGATATAGATTGATTATTATATATTCAAACAAGGAAGGATTCTTATGCATATTCGCAGATCTACCATAGACTACAATAGAAGTTAGATTGGCAATAAGATTGGTTGTAGTTTCTGTAATGTTTATAATTTCTTCTATAAGCCTACATTGCTTGTCAGACCATAACAAATCATATATTTTACAAACACTCTCAAATGTAATATTTAATACTGTAGGCAATGCAATTACAAATGCCAACAATCAAAATCATTTATCTCCAAAGTCTTATCGACTTGCAACAACCTATAGAATGCATTTAAATAAGGTATATACATTGACAATGCAATTGCACATGAATAAGAAGTTATCACTATTAATTTGCTTTATGCTTACTTGAATTTTTTTGTAATAGCCTTGAAGGCATGATAAAATATTTTGTATATTATTTTATTCCACATCAGATTAGAATGTGTGGTCAAATGATGTATAGTGTTGGAAACAAATTTATGTCAAATTTTTGACTACTGAATATTGATAGCTAAATTAATTTTCTTATATTCATCTTTGAAGTTGTTCATAAATATAGTGATCCAACCCTTTATTACAACATGTATACCTTCAACTTATAATATTGAGACTAATGGCAAACTTCATTAGTCTAAAGTTTCACAAACTTTGTATGATATGGAAATAGCCAAACAATATTAGTGTATTGTGTCGCAATATTGTCAAAATTGTAATCCAAATTATTCATAACTTCTTCATACTCTTTATTATTAGTTGTATAGACTATTATGTTCTATGTATCCATAAAGGCCTTGAAATCGGGAATATCTCAGATAATAGACTTAATTTTTGACAATACATTCTTCTCAATGTATTATAAGCAAAGCATAAATTATATTTTAAAAAAGACAATGTCAATTTCATGTACCAATAATACCTTGTAGTCAAAACATACAAAAAATTTGATGCAAACATAATTTATATTTGTTGTAAGGTCTAAATATAGTTATTTTATTTTTCTACTTACATGAAGCAAAAATATTATAAAAAATAGCAATTTGTATCTGTCTTAATAGTAACATGGATTAATGGTATTTGACTAAAAATATTCTTATAATTAAAGTCAAATAAAAAGATATTAAATGCATATTTGTATCAATGTGCAAGTTTAACTACTATAGAAGGTACAAAGAATAAGTAAGAAAGTTTGCTATTGATGTCAATGTTTTTTTGGAAGATGTTGTCATGTTGTAATACAACCATTAGATGAAAGATCAAAAAAATATTATATTTATAAAAGAACTTAAATAAAAATATTATAACAAATTATATTACAAACAATAATAGATAAGGAGGTAGTAAAAATTAATAAGTGTTAGTATTTATTTTATAAAAAAGACTTCTACTTATTTTGAAAGACCATAATTAAGACAAATCAAAGTACATAAGAAAAAAGATTGATATTAACATCTTTAGAAAATAATTAAGAATAGTTTTTAGCAAAAATTATTTAAAAAAAATAAGAATTGATATCCAAAAATATTTAATTATGAACTAGGATTAAAATCAAATCTTAAGGCTTAGAATTGCATACATATGATAAATTTGGGATTTTTTGATTACTTAAAGAGCAATATTTAAGAATAGATTTATGAAAGGTTCTTTGGACATTGATTGCAAGTGTTATGAATTTGCATTGACTTTGTAAAAGCTTTATAAAGTTAGAATTATTTTATATATCACTTTGGATTTTGAGAAATAAAAAGAATTCATATTTGTGTAATTGAAAGAAGCAAGTAGATCAAGTTTATAATTAAATACAATAAATCTTATTTGTACAATTGTTAAAGACATAAGGATAAATATGCTACAAAAGTTTAATGGAACAAGATCAAATTTTTGAAGATTTCTACAATAAGTAAAGCTCTTTCTAAGATTGCATCCTTATCAATACCTTGATGGATTTACTTAAGTTGGATTTATAGATGCACTTCTATTTAAGAGTGATATCTTTTAGTACATGTCTTTGCTAGAAAAAGATTCATGATTCTTTTATGATGTAAATTCATTCTTAAAAGTATTTATGGCCACATTTAGAAAAAGTAATCAATAAATGGTAGCAACAACCAAATTCCTATCTTTACAACAAATATCATATTTAGCCATTCAAATATGCTTCTAAATTCCAAAATCTTATTTGTGATGTGGATTGAAATGACAAAACCATTATCAATCAATTTTGATATGGATTAAAAGATAATGAAAAAGATTTATTATTGATAATATCAAGAGAAAATTTATTAGAGTAATTTATTGCTTAAAATATTCTATGTGATAATCATTTCTTTGAAAGACATAAAAACAAAGGTTTGATTATAGAAATATTAGTTAAGTCATTGCAATAACTTTTAAGATTTTAGAAAATCCAAGCACACTATTCAAAATTATCCTAAGAAGTAACATAATCATTAAAAGAGGAATATAGTTGCTTAAGGAGATGATGTATTAAAAAATAAATTTTTTTAGCTATAATATAGATAATTTTGCTAAAATCTTCTTTGACACCTTATAAATTTTCTATTTTTTTTTTTAGATTACTCACCTTATTTTATAATAGATGTTTATTTAGGATAAAAAAATCACAAAGTCTTTGCTTTGTTAGATTCAAGACCCTCAACTTATTTTATAAACAAAGTCTTTGTTAAAAAATAAAAAATATCTTAACTTAAGAAAAATAAATCAATACATATAGAAGTCATAGATGATTGATTGTTGTTCTTTGGAGATATTATCTATAAAATAATTCTTTTAGATGTGGCCATTAAAGATCATGATAGTTTAATAATATTTAATGTGATTAGAAATCTTTTTAATTTAATTATTATTGAAATATTATAGCTAGAAAAATATAATATTTAAATAGATTAAATTTCTTATAACCTTGATTTTTTCCATAATTTAGTTGAAGATTTTATTAGTAAAATAAAAATCCATAAGTCTAATATATCAAAATTCTTATTAATTAGTGCAAGAATATTTATGCATATTAGAAAAGAAAGATATTTTATGTATATATATATATATATATATATATAATATCTATCTTTGATGAAAAAAAGATTTCAAGTTATATTTTAAGCTAGTATCAAATTTATTAAGATATTTTTAAGAAAAAAAATGTAGATATATTTCTAGAATATTGTCCCTATAACTATTCCATAAATCTTTATAAAAAAGTTCAACCACCTTTTAGAGCAATCTATAGCTTATCACAAAACAAGTTGGCTATACTCATAGATTACATTAATGAAACTTAGCAAAGAATTTCATACGCCTTCTAAATCTCCAATAAAGGCTCCTATCTTATTTGTAAAGAAAAAAGATGGATCTCTAAAAATGTGTCTGGACTATTGAAGACTCAATAAGATGGCCATTAAAAATAAGTATTCTCTTCTTTTGATTTTAAGACTTTTTGATCAATTGAATTAACCAAAGATTTATAAAGAAATAGATCTAAGACAAGCATACAACTTAATATACATTAAAGAAGAAGATGAGTGGAAAACAATATTTCAATCAAGTATGGGTGAAATAGGACTAAATTTTTTAAAGTCTCAAACCTTACTAATTTCATAATAACAAAGATTTTGACACATTGTAAGATCAAGTATACCAAAATAAAATTAAAAGTAACTAAATAAAATAGAACATAAAAAATAAGATTGACTAAAAGAAAATAGAACCAAATAGAAGAAAATAAAACAAAACAAGAAAAAGCAACCAAACTTTACTGAGAAAAAGAGTCTAAAGCCATAATTGACCAAATCCCAAATAGCCTTAGTTAGTTTTATTTGTACTTAGTTCAATTATCCTTAGAATTTTCTAAAATATTTCTAATGGTAGGTCCTACCAAAATAATTGTTCTTTTAGAAGACTCTAGAGATGGCCCTTATTATGATAATTTCTCAAGTCTTTCTAAAAGATTCTATGGTGGATCCTATATGAACCACCACCTTAAGCTCAATTCTAGAAACTTTCCAAAAATGAATCCAACTACATATTTTTATGTACAAATAATAAAAATATCCTATTCATGCCCTATTATTGCTAATTCACCTCTACTAATACAAAACATCTTTATTTTTCTCTTGATGGTATTTCCAAATAGTCTC